TAATTTGATGTAGTCCCAGCTGTTTATCTTCGCCTTCACTATCACTGCTTTGGGTGATGTGTCTGTAAAGATGTCTTTGATGTGCAAATCACGTAGTGTTTCGCCCACATTTCCTTCTATGTATTTTATGGTTTCAGGTCTTATGTCTAATTCTTTAATCCATTTTGAGTTGATTTTTGTGTATGGTGTGAGGTAGTGGTCAAGCTTCATTCTTTTGCATGTAGCGACCCAGTTTTCCCAGCACCATTTATTGAACAAACTTTCTTTGCTCCAATGCATAGTCTTTGCTCCTTTGTCGAAGATTAGTTGACCATAAATCTGTGGGTTTATCTCTGGATTTTCTATTCGATTCCATTGGTCTGTATGTCTGTTCTTGTTCCAATACCATGCAGTTTTGATGATTATGGCTTTGTAGTATAGTTTGAAGTCTGGGAGTGTGATGCCTCCATTCCCTTCTTTTTTTTTCAGGAGAGCTTTGGCTATTCGGGGTTTTTTGTGATTCCATATGAATTTCATCAATAATTGTTCTATTTCTTTGAAGAATGACATTGAAATTTTGATTGGAATAGCATTGAATCTGTATATTGCTTTTGGAAGGATGGCCATTTTAATAATGTTTATTCTTCCAATCCATGAGCAGGGGATATCTCTCCATTTCTTTGTGTCTTCTTCTATTTCTTTTAACAGTGTTTTATAGTTTTCTTTGTATAGGTCCTTTACCTCTTTTGTTAGATTTATTCCCAAATATTTGATTTTTTTTGTTTCAATAACGAAAGGGATGGTTTTTTTGATTTCTTCTTCTTCAGATTTATTGTTTGTGTATAGGAAGGCTACTGACTTTTGCGTGTTGATTTTGTATCCTGCCACTTTACTGAACTGATTGATGAGTTGAATTAGCTTTTCTGTGGAGTTTTTGGGGTTCTCTATGTATAATATCATATCGTCTGCAAATAGTGATAGTTTGACTTCTTCTTTTCCTATTTGGATTCCTTGGATGTCTTTCTCTTGTCTTATTGCCCTGGCTAGGACTTCCAGTATTATATTGAAAAGCAGTGGTGAGAGTGGACATCCTTGTCTTGTTCCAGATCTTAATGGAATTGCTTTCAGCTTTTCACCATTGAGAATGATACTGGCTGTTGGCTTGTCATAGATGGCCTTTATGATGTTAAGGTATGTTCCTTGTATCCCAAGAATTTCCAGGGCTTTTATCATGAATGGGTGTTGCACTTTGTCGAAAGCTTTCTCAGCATCTATTGATATTATCATATGGTTTTTATATTTCTTTTTGTTGATGTGTTGGATAACGTTGATTGATTTTCGGATGTTAAACCATCCTTGTGTCCCTGGAATGAATCCTACTTGGTCGTGGTGAATTATCTTATGGATACATTGTTGGATTCTGATGGCTAAAATTTTATTGAGGATTTTTGCATCAGTGTTCATTAGGGAGATTGGCCTGTAGTTTTCCTTTTTTGTGTTGTCCTTGTTCGGTTTTGGTATTAGTGTAATGTTGGCTTCATAGAACGTGTTTGGTATTGTCCCTTCCTTCTCAATTTTTTGGAAGAGTTTGTGAAGGATAGGCACTAATTCGTCTCTGAATGTTTGGTAGAATTCATTTGTAAATCCATCAGGTCCTGGGCTTTTGTTTTTGGGGAGGTTTTTGATTACCATTTCAATTTCGCTAATTGTAATTGGTCTGTTTAGGTGTTCTATTTCTTCTTTATCTAGCTTTGGGTGATTGTAGAGTTGTAGGAATTTTTCCATCTCCTCTAGATTGTTGAACTTGTTTCCATATAACTGTTCATAGTAGTTACTGATTATTCTTTTGATTTCTGCTGTGTCCGTTGTGATTTCTCCTCTTTCATTGATGATCCTGTTTATTTGTGCTTTCTCCCTTTTTTCCTTTGTGAGCCTGGCTAGGGGTTTGTCTATTTTATTGATTTTTTCAAAGAACCAGCTCTTGGTTTCATTGATCTTTTGGATTGTTTTTTTAGTTTCAATTTCATTTATTTCTGCTTTGGTTTTTATTATTTCTTTTCTTCTACTGGTTTTGGGGTTTTTTTGTTGTTCTTTTTCTAGATCTTTGAGCTTCGAGATTAGGTTGTTTCTTTGATTTCTTTCTTGTTTCTTGATGTGAGCTTCTATTGCTATATATTTACATCTTATTATTACTGCTTTTGCTGCATCCCATACATTTAGGATACTGGTGTCCTCCTTGTCATTCAATTCAAAGAATTTTTTAATTTCTTCTTTGATCTCCTCATTAGTCCAGTGGTCTTCCAGTAGTGTGGTTTTTAATCTCCATGAGGTAGGAAAGTTCCTTGCCTTCTTTTTATGGTTTAGTTCTAGTTTGATGCCTTCATGGTCAGAAAAGATGGTTGATATGATTTCATTCTTGGTGTATCTGTTGATGTTTGTCTTGTGCCCCAGTATGTGATCGATCCTGGAGAATGATCCGTGTGCGCTTGAGAAAAATGTGTACTCCGTTTTTTTGGGGTTTAGTGTTCTATAGATGACTGTTAAGCCCAATTGCTCTAGGTCCTTATTTAGAGCTTTGGTTTCTTTACTTATTTTTTGTCTTGTTGATCTATCCATTGTTGATAGTGGTGTGTTGAAGTCTCCCACTACGTAAGTGTTTTCTCTGATGTCTGTTTTCAGAGAGGACAACAGTTGTCTGATATATTTTGGTGCTCCTTCGTTTGGTGAGTATATGTTAATGAGTGTTATTTCTTCTTGAAGTATTGTCCCCTTGATCATAATGTAGTGACCATTGGGGTCTCTTTTTATCTTTTTGAGTTTGAAATCTGTTTTATCTGATATAAGTATAGCTGTTCCTGCTTTCTTTTTTGGTCCATTTGCTTGAAGGATTGTTTTCCATCCTTTAACTTTGAGCCTATTTTTATCTTTTGTAGCTAAATGTGTTTCCTGGAGACAGCAAAAGGTTGGGTTTTGTTTCTTAATCCAGGCTGCAACTCTGTGTCTTTTTATTGAAGAATTTAGTCCATTTACATTTAGAGTTAATATTGATATGTTAACATCTGTATTTGCCATTGTGTTTGTCTTTCCTTTGATTTTATTTATTTATTCTTTTAATAACTTTTTTTTTTTTTGGCCTTCTTTCATTGTTATTCGTCCCTCTGAGGTTCTGGCTTTAGGACTCCTTGTAGTATTTTTTGGAGTGTGGGTTTAGTTGCAATGAAATTCCGGAGTTTCTGTTTGTCTGGGAAAGTCCATATTCTTTCTTCAAAGAGGAAGGAGAGCTTTGCGGGATAGAGTATTCTTGGTTGGCATCTGTTTTCTTGGAGTCTGTTGACTATGTCCCTCCACTCTCTCCTTGCCCGTAGTGTTTCTTCAGAGAAGTCTGATGTCAGCCTGATTGGCTTTCCTTTGAATGTTATCTGTTTCTTCCCTCTTGCCAGCTTCATTATTTTTTCCTTGTCCTGGATTCTTGGGAGCTTTACTATTATGTGTCTTGCTGTATTTTTCCTTTCGTCGTGGAAGTTTGGTGTTCTTCTTGCTTCTTGTATATCAATTTTCAGCTCCTCCTTCACATTTGGGAAGTTCTCTTCAATTATTTCTTTGAATATTTTCTCTGTTCCTACTTCTCTCTCCTCTCCTTCTGGTATTCCTATAACTCTTATATTTCCTTTCCTCACGGAGTCAGATAGTTCCCGAAGTCTTTCTTCATTCTTTTTCCTTCGTACTTCTCTTTCCTTTTCTGTTTTGGTTCTTTTTATTTCTGTGTCTTCAAGAGTACTTATTCGTTGTTCCATTTCATCAATTCTGCTTTCATTGCTTTTCCCAGAATTCTTTAGTTCTTCCATTAATTCTTTGATCTCCTGCATTTCTTTTACTTCCCTCTTTAGGGACTCAATTTCATTCTTCTGATCGTTGATTATTTTTCCCTTATCATTGTTTTCCTTTATGACTTCTGTCAGTTTTTTAATCACAGCAATTTTAAATTCTCTTTCTGGAAGGCTCAGAAGTTCTTCCAAGTTACTGTCGTTGCCATCTGGGGGCTGGTTTTCTTTTTGTGGTGTGCTTTTTCTCTGGAGAGTTGCTAGGTTGTGTGTGGTTCTTCTCCTCCCTACAGTCTGTTTTCTAATTTGCCGTATGCGTTGGGACACTGTGTAGTTGGGACTGGCCGGCATCTTGGGTGGGCTTCTCTGCTCCCCCCTGGTTCCTCCAGGAGTCATCTGTCAGTTTCAAGCAGTCTTTATTGGAGAAAGGTACCTGTCATAAAATGCCGATGTGGGGACACACTCCCCTGTGCGCCTGGTCTGCCCCGGCGGTGGGTTCCTGCTCCCCCTCTGGGCTTGGACTGCAGGCCAGAGGGGGTCTGGCATGGGCGAACTTCCCCCGCTCACTTCTGGCTCCTGAGGAAGCCTTCTGCAGGTAGTCTTTACTGAAGAAATGTCCCTGTTCTAAAATGGTGATGTGGGACACACTCCCTGCGCGTACGGTGTCAGGCACACTCTTCTGCGTGCCTGGTCTGCCCGGCTGTGGGTGCTCGCTCCCCCTGTGGGCTCAGACTACTGGTCGGAAGGGGCCCGGCGTGGGCTAACTCCCCTGCTGGCCACTATCTCCTTCAGGAGCCTCTGCTGGCTTCAAGTCGCTAGGTGGCGCCAGAGATCTCTCCTAGAGCCCTTGGGGAGCTGATTTTCCACCCCGTGGGACAGGGAGCAGAGCGGGGATGGTAGGGTACACCTCAACGGCTTTGGGGTGCTGTGTCTGCCTTGTGCCCCACCGTCGTGGGGAACCCACACCCCTAATTTCGTGCCCCGGGTCTCAGTTCCAAAGCCCTCAGTTCCAGGACGCGGGCTGTAGCTCAGATCAGTGGCGCGGGAATGGCGCCTTTTGAATCCCGCTCCCCTGCCTGGGCGCCTGGTTCCTGCTCACTCCGGGAGGGCCTCCGCGCGTCTCCCCGCAAGCCTAGGTCGTCTCCCCGCAAGCCTAGGTCGCAGGCGCGGGGACCTGGGCAGCTGCGATCCGATCCACGCAATCCGCGCCGCTTTCCCCGCACAATCCCGCTCCGCGTCTGTTTTTCCGGCGCGCCGCTTCCGCGCAGGCTTACCGGGCGGCCGGGGCTGTGTCAGCACTGATAAATCTTTAGCTAGGCTAACAATGGAAGCAAGAGAAAATGTATGAATAGAATTAGAAAAAAATGGAAATTACTACAGCAGAAGAAGAATACAAAGAAGAATACAAAGCAGAGAAATACAAAGGTCCTTAGAGCACTGTGACTGACTATGCTAGCAAATTCAATAATCTTTTTTTTTCTTTTTCTCCAAAGATTTATTTATTTATGCTTACAAGAACTGGGGTACAGGCCAGAGGCAGAGGAGGGTGAGAGGATTCACCAGAGACAGAATGGGGAGCAAAACAAGCAGACTGACAAAATATACCACTAAGGGGAGCAGCGGGTGAGACAGGAGAGGTCTGCCGTGCCATGTGGGAAGCTCCGAGGCTGGCAGGGATCGAACAGGCACTGCAGAGGCTGTGGACAGCTTCACAGCGCTGCGCTCAACTGGCTTCACCACCATAGAGTCCCTGCATAGATCTTTAACTTCTTTTATTAGGTTCATTCCCAAGTATTTCATTTTTTTTTGTTTCAATTACATAAGGGATGGTTTTCTTGATTTCTTCTTCTGCAGATTGATTGTGTATAGGAAGGCTACTGATTTTTGAGTGTTGATTTGGAATCCTGCCACTTTACTGAACTGGTTGATTATTTTGAGTAGTTTTTCTGTGGATTTTTTAGGGCTCTCGGTGTTTATTATCATATTGTCTGCAAATAGTGATAGTTTTGCTTCTTCTTTCCCCATCTGCATTCCTTGTATGTTTAGACATAGGTATTGACACTGATTTGGACTGTGGGGCACTTTTAAAATTAAGCCAACAGATTAAAATACAGCAAAAAAAAAAAAAAAACTCAATGTGGTTGATGATGTAAACATTTATGACATCGCACGTGACATTTGTCATTTGAAGTATTTTGAAATATTGTTTAAAACAAAGTTTCCCTAGTCAAACTGTTTGCATCTATTTCCTGATGGAGAGTGAGAAAATGTTCCCATGTAAAAAGGCAAGGGGACAGTCAACATGTACTGTTCTTTAGAATGTTCTTGTTTTAGGACTGGTTTGGGTAAGTCAACAGCATTCTTGCCATAAGCAAAACTGTGTCAGGAGCTCAAGACACAGGAGGGAATTACATTCTAGCATGAAATTCTGAAAACATGTTAGTATGATTTAGGTGCAGTGACACTGTGAGGGGAGGAGAGGATGTGGTTCAGGAAGAAATGTGCAGCACCTGCCTGCAAGGCGGTCAGAAGTGACATGTGGGTTGGAGGAAAGCAAGGTCAGAGACCTGGTAGGCGCATCTGGGGATTCTGCAAGAACAAGAGCAAATACCCCAGGTGGTAACAGGATGTGGCAGAAATGACACCCAAATATCCCAAAATAGATGACAGGATCAAGAAGATGCAGTGCATATACACAATGGAAAATGACTCAGCTATCAAATAAGATAAACTCATGCAATTTGCAGCAACACGGATGGAGCTGGAAGGGGTCATGCTTGGGCAAAATAAGCCAGAAAGAAAAAGAAAAATACCAGATGATCTCACGCATAGCAGAAATTTATAAAACCTAAATAAGGGACCAGGAAATACTAATTATAATTAAGTAAAAATCACAATCAACAGCAACTACAAGCCAGAGACACACTACCATGCGGGGGATGAGGGAGTAGGATCACACAAGGGGGGTGGAAATTATATGGGGACTATAACCAAGGTGAAAATGCACACATTGGCAAAAATGAAAAAGGATGTAAAAATACATAAAATTAAAAACAAAAAAGAAGGGCAGCTCACCCAGCAGGGCTGGACAGGGAGGGGAGGTGGGTGGGGGCAGGTCTGAGGCCAGCGGGGCAGGGAAGCCTGTGCAAAGGGGTTTTGGGGAAGTGTCAAGCCAGTAGGGCCACAGGAAGGCTTGAGGCCAGCGAGCGGATCATCTGATTGATGCTCTCGCTCTTCCCTGGGTGTGGGGGAGGTTGAAGGAAGGGGGGGAACCAGTGCCGGGCCGCAGCCCTGGCCCGTGACGCGCAGCATCCCAGGCTGGTGGGGGCATCGTGGGTTCTCAGAGGCGAGAGGGATGCGGAGCCTCCATGGGGTTTGCAGCCCCTGAGGCTGATGCGGGCGTGGACACAGGCGGCCACAGAGCGCGGACTCCCCCGAGGCGGCCGTGGAGGTTGGGGGGAACGATGGGAACAGGCCTGCGAGTCTGCCCTCGAACACGGGAGAGGACGCGACCTCTCTGTGCGGCAGCCGGGAGCAGCCGCAGTCGCAGCAGGAGCAGCTCGGCCTCTCCCGGCCGCTGCTGGGTCAGGTCCCCGGGGGGCGGGACCAAGAGAACCTGCCCTGGGCGTCCTGTCCCCCGAGAGGTTGACACCCTCCACCCTCCAGGCCTGGGACACATGGCACTGGGGCCACCGACTGACCCCTGAGCCCAGGCTCTGAGCCTCGGGGCTCTGGCCGCGCCCCAGGCTGCTCAGGGGAGACCTGGTCCTCAGCGGATGCTGTGCGTGAGTGATCAGGGTTGGCCTGGCGTGGGGAACCTGCAGCCTGAGCAGCAGCGGACCCCACTGCTCACGCCAACCCACCACTTCCAGAAGCCAGGCCGTTCCCCGCGGGGCGCAGGGCCACAGCATCTGGACCTGGCCTTTGCCAACCTCAGCTCCCCGACCCCAAGTTCGAGCAAAAAGCAGTTTTTTTTTTTTAATAGTCTTTTTTTTTTTAAAGATATATTTATACAAGAAGCGAGGTACAGGCCAGAAGTGTGAGGGTGAGAGGATTCCCCAGAGACAGAGCAGGGAGCAGAACAGGCAGACTGACGAAATACACTGCTGAGGGGCGCGGCGGGCGGGAAAGGAGAGGTCTGCTCGCCTCCCTGGCGGGCCGGGAATCGAACCGGTGCTGCAGAGGTGCGGACAGCTCCACAGCTTTGTGCTCAACCCGCTGCGCCAACGGGAGCCCGAGACGCAGATATTTCCAAGCCAGAAATCTCGGGGGGAGCTGACAAGCCCCAGCTGCCCCCAGCCCCGGCTGAGTCAGGTCAGCGGGTGTCCCCACAGCGCTGGGGGCGGGGCGGACACCCCCTCAGGGCCGCTTTACAGCCTCTGCCGCCCTGGGCGCCGCCCCGGCCTCCGGCCTGCGAGGACGCCGAGGGGCACACGCAGCTCGAGGGCCAAACGGGGGGACCATGTCCCAGAGAGTTTTCAGTGTCGGGGTGTGAAGAGCGGACTCTGCCGCGTCTCATGCTCCCAACATGGTGTCGTTTATTGTGCCCGTGGATGTGTCGTGTCATGTGAGACGCATCAGGGTTTGAGGGGGACTGTGCGGAGAGACCCTAAAAGCCGAAACCTGGGACAGGTGCTCGCGACAGAGGACACGGCCTCGCCAGCGCCCCGCGGGCTTCTGGAACGGGGTGGACTCCAGTCTCCAGGGCGTCTGTCCACACACCTCTTGGCGGGTGCTGTCCCGTGAAGGCTGAATGGCCCCCGGGTGCCCTCTGCCGGGGGCGTGGCCTCTGCTCTGACGCCACAAAGAGCTCTGTGACGTCACCCGCGGAGCCTACTTAAGCCCCCGCGCAGCCCAGACTCGGTGGGAGAGAGAGTGCGTGTTGGTGGATTGGATTGCTTTTGCTTTGTTTGTTTATTTCTTATTCAGTTATTTATTTTAGCTATTTTTATTTAATTTATTTTATTTTTATTTATTTGTTTTTATTTACTTTTATTGTTTGATTTGCTTATTTTTTCTTTTTCTTTTTATTTGTTTTTGTTTTTCATTTTTATTTTTTCATTTCCCCCGTTTTCCCTCGTGCTGTTATTTTTGTGTGTGTTTTCACCCCTTTGTGGTTTGTCTGATTTTTTTCATTTTAGTTGTTAGTTTGTAATTGTTTGTTTGCTTGTGGTTTGTTTTGTCTGTGTTCTTGTTAACTTTAGTGGTTAGTTTGTTATAGATTTTTTAATTATATTTTTAAATATTTATCTTTGTTAATTTTTTGGTTGTGTGTTTTTATTTTTGAGTGCATAGTTAATTAGTATTAGTATTCTAGTTAGGTTAACATAGTTAGTATTTCTGGTAGAGGTAAGTTAGCGTCCTTAGTGTTTCGGTAGAGTAGTCAGCACAGGTAGCATTTAGTTAGTTTCGGGGATCCTTTTCATGTACTACTAGCTCTAGGCTAATAGTGCACTTGTTAATCAGGTAGCGGAGCTAGTGCCGAGGGCTCTAGACAGCCAGGGCCTGCGAGTGTAGGAGCGGGTCCGCCCTCACTGCCCTGATGTACCTGTCTGCCAAGGGAATGGCACAGAGAATGTATGTGATGCTCCACACGCTGGGGGAGGGCACACCCGCCAAGGTCAAGCTGGCGCGGCACCTGCCGACGGGCACGGAGGTGGCCATAAAGGTCATCCCAAAGTCCGGCACGCCTCAGAGGTTCCTGGACCGCGAGGTGGCCTGCATGAAAGTCCTTCAGCACCCGAACATTCTCTAGCTCTTCCAGGTGGTGGACACCAAGGATGAGGGGCTGTTGGTCCTAGAGCATGCGCAGGGGGGTGACCTGCAGCACTACCTGTTGAAGCATGGGCGCCTGGGGGAGATGGAGGCGCGCCGCCTCTTCCAGCAGATCCTTCCCACACTCAGCCACTGCCATGCCCGGGCCGTGGCACACCGGGACCTGAAGCCGGAGAACCCACTCCTGCACTAGCACCGAAACATAAAACTGGCAGACTTCAGGCTCAGTGCCCAGTTCTACGGGGTGGCGCTGCTCAAGACCCCCTGTGGCAGCCCACAGTTCATGGCCCCCGAGATCCTCCGTTGCCAGGAGTACAGTGGCCCCACGGCAGACATCTGGAGCCTGGGGGTGGTCCTCTATGACATGGTCACCGGGGAGCTGCCCTTCGAGGGCACCAGCCTCGGGGAGGTGCAGGCCAGGGTGCTGAGCGGCGTCTACCACGAGCCACACTACCTCTCCCAGCAGTGCCGGGACCTGCTGAGGAAGATGATGACGCTCGATCCACAGAGTCGTAGAAACCTGGACAGCATCATCCAGCACCCCTGGGTGGGGCTGACAAACGGACTCCTGCCCTGCTTCGAGCTGTCCCTGGGCCAGCACAAGGCCGCAATTTAAGCCATGGTCCCCCTGGGGTTCCGGAAAGAGGTCATCGAGAGGGCGCTTTTGGAGTGCAGGTATGACCCTGTGATGGGGACCTACCTCACGCTACTTTCCAGGCAGCGGGTGGACGAGGAGGGGCCAGACCCTACCATCTCCCCCAAGCTCCTCAGTCCCAATGGGGCCCACTGCGCCCCGATACCAGAGGACCACCGGCAGCCTGAGGTCTCGGGCATGAAATCTTGCAGGTGGGACTGTCCCCGAACGGGAACGCCCAGAAGCCCCCCACCACCTCCAGGCCAGGCATCCCGCAGAAGGACGCCAGCATACAGAGCTCTGTCTCCGGCTCAGGGCCCCTGCTGCCGGACGCCTGGAAGCCCAGCATGGCCTCCAGGTCAGGGCCTGTACTGCAGGAGGCCTGGGGGCCCAACACCACATCACTGCCAGGACCCCTAAAGGAGGAAGCCCTGCCGCCCAGCACCACCTTGCTAGGCCCCCAGCTGGAGGGGTCCAGGAAAGCATTAGGAAGACCTCCAGCCCTGCCCCGCAGCTCTCCAGCACCACCCGAATAACCCCAAGAAGGCGCCTCCTGTTCAGCCCACCCCCTGCAGAGACACTGGGCCATGAACACCATTCCCATTTCACCCTTCAGTCCAGCAGAGGCTATAAGGCCAGAGCTCATTGAATCCTTAATAGGATTTTAAAATGTTGCCTTTTCTGTCCACCCTTTGGAAGAAAACACAAGAGCAGAGTTCACCCTGCCGGGGATTAGATGGTCACCAGCACCTCCCTAGAATTCATTTCCCTGCTCCAGGGCAGCCACTCAGTGGCCATAGTGAAAGGAGTACACCAGTGGAGGCCGAGGCCCTGGAGAGGGGTTAGGGGCTGTGCCCAGCCAGAGGGGCCAGGAGCAGCATGAGAACATAGGCGTGGAGCACAGATGTCCACAAGCACAGCAGTCCCAGGAGCGCAGCAGGTAAAGGGCAGGGAGGGCAACAGATCTGTTGAAGCACCTGGAGGGGAACAGAGCAGAGGAAGGGGGGAGAGGTGGGCTTAGGGCAGCTGAGCAGGTGCAGGGCCCGGGATGGGAGTGGAGCTGTACATTCTGAACCTCCAGAAGCCCCAGGGCCAGGGGCTGGGACCCCAGGGCCTTGCTTCCCTATCTTATGCTCTATCCCGTGAGGGCCCTGCTGGTGGCCCTTGGGCACCCGGACGGCGCAGAAGATACAGGAGCTCTTCAAGCTGACTGGCACTGTCAGGGACTGACATACATGGTAGGAAGTCCCCTTCTACTGAGCCCCTTTTCACAACGGTGATTCCAACATTGAGAATTGCTTACCCACCAGTGAGTGGCGCCTCGGTAGGGCCTCCTGGTTTCCATCTGCACTTTGTCACATCTGAGTCCGTGCAGCACTCCCTGGGGGGTGTCACTAAGGAAAGAGCCTCCTCCGTGCTTGGGCTTCAATGGCTCTGCTCTTCCCACGCAGGTCCCAGAGGGCGTGAGGAGGCAGCCGCTCTGGACATACTGGTTCCCACTGCAGGGGCACCTCCAGGTGACCCGCTCTGCCTGCGTGGCCCTGGGGCATGGAGGCATCTAGATGCTCTTTCTCCGCCTGGAGGAGACAGTCTGAAATGGATTGTTTAGTTACAATATCTACCCCAGGACACATTAAAATGGTGTATGAAACTGACCGCGTTTGCTTCCCGCTTATGACTGCACCCACATTTCCAACACGTAGGATGCCAGAGATCTAAATTTCCTTTAACATTCTTGTATCAGCAGTGAAAAGTTTAGAAAATTTAGAAAATTTTGGAAAGCATTTAGAAAATTTTAGAAAAGTCAGAGGGGTCACGTGGTAATAAGACAGTGAGACAGGAGTGTGAAGCAGAGCTAGCTGTGAGTATGGAATTAGGTATTTGCACTATTTTCTTTAGGTGTATGTGCATGTCTTGCACTATGTGCAAGTGTGTGCATGTGAGTCTACATGAGTGTGGCTTGTGTTTGCTTCTATAGGTATGAAGTATTTATATACTTTCTACCATCAGAAAAACACTCCCAGCTATAGAGAATTGGTACGATGTCTTCAAAAATAGGGCTCCCGGATGGCCAGCGGGTTGAGCCCAGAGCTGAGGGAAGTGCTAAATCTCCAAAGTCCCCAATGTGGCTTATTTCTCCGAGTCCACATCTGTAGGGGGTTTAATTCTGCTCCAGTATAACTGTATTTGCAGGTCAGTTAAAGTGTCCCTGGTTTCTTGCCATTGGTCCCTGCTCATGGTGTGTGCCCTGGTCACCCATTTCTCTTTCAGGGGCATCAATGTTGTCCTGCACAGTGTTGTGAGTTTATGGCGGCGGTGAGCCCAGTGTCTTCACTCTGCCTCCATATTGCGCCTCATGCATAACCCAATTATTTTTTGAGACCATAATTACTTTGTAAACCAAAACAACTAAATATAATAAAAAAAAACAATAAAACTGAAAAACTAGAGATGTTAAAAAAATCACATCCAGTGACTTGTATTGAAATTATTGAAAAATTATATACATCATGGTTAAGTGTGGTTCATTCCTGTAATACAAGACCAGTTCAACACTTACATATCAAGTAATATAACAGTTTACATTAAGAGTGAATAAGAAAAAAATTATTACTGTATCAACAGACATAAAAACACTCAATATATTTCAACACACATTCAAAATTAAAAAAAAAAGAGTAAATTCAAAAACCCAGGATTAAAAGGTCTTTCCTTAAACTAATTAAATGTATAAAAGAAAACATGTAACTAACATTACACTTAAAGATGAGCCACCAAATAGATTTCCTCTTCAGATGGAGAAAAAGGCCATTTTGTCCTCTGCCACTATACCAATTCAGAACTGTTGGGCTGTCCTTACTAATATAATAAGTAAAAGAAAGGAAAAGCTATAAAGGGAATACATATTGATATGAAACACTCAATTATATATCCCAGGTAGAAAACCACTACAAAGCTTAAAAAATCTCAGAAATAATTAGCAACTATAGGAAGGTTGCAGGGTATGTAGTCAATATACAAAATTTTATAAGTTTCTCCATAAGCAACACAAATAACTGGGATATAAAATTAAAGAAACATCATCTTTTATAAAAATACTACCCCAAATGAGATACCTAAGCAGGGCCTTCCCTGGTGGTGCAGTGGTTGAGCGCTGGGCTGTGAAGCTGCCCATAGCCTCTGCAGCACTGGTTCCATCCCCGGCCACCAACAAGGTTCCCACAAAGCACACAGACCTCTCCTTCTGACAGCTGCTCCCCTCAGCAGTGTACTTTGTCAGTCTGCCTGTTCTGTTCCCTGCTCTGTCTCTGGTGAATTCTCTCATCCTCCCATGCTTCTGAATGTACCCAGTGCTTGCATAAATAAATAAATAAATAGATAAATCTTTTAAAATAAATAATAAAAACTGAAAAAAAAGAGAAAAAATAAATATGTAAGCATAAATCTAACAAAATTTGCAGGAGACCTATACACAGAAAGCCAACAACAGTAATAAGATGGACCTAGATACAGACCTAAACCTTATTAAAAAATGAACAAACGCAAATTGAGTCATAAACATGAATGTAAAATGCAATACTATAAAACTTCTCGAATAAGACATAATAATACAAATAGATGTGACTTTGGATTTGCTAATAACTTTTTAGATAAAACACTAGAAGCATGACCTATGAAATAATAAGCAGACCTTTGCACTTTATTAAAAGTTTATGCTCTGCAAAAATGATGTTAAAAACACAAGTAACTTATTGGGAAAATACTATGAAGATAGATGCATTTACCAACATGCATTTGTCAAAACCCATAGAACTCACAGCACTAAGAATGACCCTTGGTCTACCAAAATTTTAAAGAATCATTTTGCAAGTCCGGGTATCCCAGAATGTGACACAGATGATGACAATAGAATGTAACTGTATTACATTGTATGACACATGCTTACAGAAAGAGATTTTGGAAAAGATAATGTAGACTCAAAAAGAAGGAAAGAATTCTATGGTTTGCTCTGCTGGAAATATCCTTTACACCCTGGCAAGGCTGCCTGGGCAATAAAGTCAGCAAGACAATAACTTTGTTTGCTTTGAAGAGTTCCTCTGGTGAGAAGCAAAGAAAATGTCCAGAAAGTCCACAGTCCTACCGTGTTTATAAGTTGCTAGACTAAGGAACAAGAGCTATTGGCCTGAGGGACGAGTGTTTCTATGAGGGCACTTGTCAAAATAAGAGATTCCAATAACATTTGTTCCTTACATCTTCCCCCACACAGTAACTCTTACTGTCTCGACTTTGTAAAATCAAATCTGGACTTGCTATTGGTTTTTAAATTGGGGGTTGGAGTCATAGACCTGTCAGAACATTACTACATGTCTAACATAACCTGTGCAATATGATCCATCCCTGGAAGGCATTGAGTTGATTGGTTAAACTGTTAACCCAGACAACTAGAGGTACAAGGACTCTGCTGTCCCCTGCCCTCTAGGTGCTGGTGTCCTAAGTAAGAAGACACATCATCAAGGATTGAATCTAAAAAGGGACAAATTTTGTTTGGTTTCTTGATATTCCACAGAAAAGTAACATCATCCAGTATTTATCTTTGCCCTTATGGCTTATTTTGCTTGGCATAATAGCTTCCAATTCCATTCATGTTGCCATAAATGGTGTCAATTTATCTTTTTTGACTGCAGAGTAGCATTCCATTGTTTGTATATGTATATATACCACATTATCTCTTCCATATGGCCACTGAAAATTATTTCATTTGATTCCTCTATTCATTTTAAAAAAAACTCCATTTGGGGGAGGAAGTCCATGCATCTCTGCTAAGCAGACAAGTATAGGTTTTTGCACCTGAGGGGGGAAATTCTATACTCCCAAAACACTACCAAAATGTAAACCAATGGTGCTTCTATAATAAAAATTAAAAAGATGACACATCATCAGCATCACTAAGCTGGCAGTATGGTGTATAGCGTGACGATTAACACTATGGAGAAGAAATAAGCAAGGAAGAAGAAAGGCCGTATTGTCTTAAACGAAAACTTCAGGTAAAGCCTCTCAGAAAGCAAGGAAGGACAAGCAGGAGGACCAGCAGGGGCAAGCCTTGGGTGGTAGTGTGCTTGCAGTCTTTGAGGGGCAGTACTATGTCATGAAGAGCAATGTTGTCTCAAATCTACAGGCCCTGGCATGGCTCTTTTGGGATGTGTGAGGGGCACTAAGAGCTTAAAATGCATTCAGCTTTAATTGAGGACTGCACCAGAGATGGTGATTATATAACCCAGTCCAGCATCCTTTAAGTCAGGGCTAATTAGCACACTTCCTTTTCCAGCTGTGCCCTCAAAATTCCATTAACATCAAGTGCTGGCACCCACTGTCACCTACAGATTCAAGGTAATAGACCTCATCTCTTCTACAACACGATGGGTTTCCTGAAGGAATTGAATCATTTCCCAGGACTGCCTTGGGCAAAGTGGGACACAGAAATGGGGCCTGAATTAGAATGGGGGTGAGGAAGGGGAAGCTGGGCTGCAGGTGAAACATCCAGAGCAAGACTTTGATAGACAACTTCATGCTTCCAAGGAGAGCCTGCCCCAGGTGGACTCAGGACACCAAACGCTCAATAGATAACGAATGTCCCTCCACCAAAATATCTGTGCTCTCTAGGTCTAGACCCACCCGTTGAGACTCTCACCTTTTTGTGTCTGCATTATATTTTGTGACTGACACCACATGGTCACCCTCCTTGCAGTTTTATTATACTAAGCAATAGCAGCCTTCCATTGCATGAAACTGACTTTATTGAAGAACAAATCTGCCCTGTTTGTTTACATTCTGGACACTGATAAATAGAATAATGATTTCAGTTGGTATCTTGAGTGAGTCAAATTTATAATTTATCCCAACTTGATATAGTCCAAAAATGAAAGAAGTAGAAGACTGTGGACAGTATGAAATGGCAGCTTAATTTTTAGGAAAATAAAACCCAGAGCCAGAGAGTTAAAGGTTTTCCTAAGGATGTTAAAAATGTTTTCAAAGAGGACGGACATGTAGCATTTTATGCCGAGGAAGACAAGTAAGTTCGCTTTGGTGAATAGGGCAGAGAAATAGCCTTTATATGTACATTTAGAACAATTTAAAATGTGCCCGTTATTTCTATAAAGGGCTAATACAAGTAGTATAGACTTGAGTGGGGTAATGCAAATCCAGGAATCAAGGGTCCCTGGAAATTCATCTGTCACTCACTCCTGATGCTTTTATATGAGGTTCACCAAAGCACTTTGGATTTCAAACCATCTCTGCCTTGTACTCTGGGGTCTGTTTTTCTCTCTTGCATGATACATGTGTTAGATTGATACTGATCAGTATGGATGGGATGAGTGAATGGGTTATAATGCACTAAACAAACATGTATGATTCCTTCTGCAAGCCCAGCACAGCAGGTGCTCAGTACAGGAGACAAAACCTGGAAGACATGGCCTTGCCTTGTACATATTAGAGTCCAGGGAGGGCAAAGAGTAATCTGCCCCTGAGATGCAGAGAGCAAGCATAAATGTCACCCAGAGGATAGAAATTGTCTACCAGGACAGGATCTGA